TTGAATCTCTCTAACACCTTTTCAACATATCGTTCTTGGGACAACCATAAAAGCTTCTTTGGTCTGTCCCGAGTGATCTTCATTCCAAGGATCTGTCTCGCTTGCCCCAGATCTTTCATTGCAAAACATTTTCCCAAATCATTCTTCAATGCGGCTATCTTGTTGCGATCTTGGCCCACAATTAACATATCGTCAACATCTAATTTATTAAAACAGGATCACTCTTATTTTTCACCCTCAATTTACCGTGGAATATTACATCTATTGCCACTGGACCTACTTTACAAAAAAAAACTGATTCTTTATAACTGCATCTCATTATATCAAAATTATAACCACGTTATATTTTCTATGCCAAAACAGTTATTACGTTCTCATTCCAAACACTTTTTGTTTTTTTTCTGAATAGGCAGTTACCTTCAATCTTCCTTTGCGTGAGACACAAAATTTTTATATCACTTTAAATGGCTGTCGCATAAACCTTTTATTAATTTTAAAATGTTGATCAAATATGAATATATATTGAAACAGTGTTCAATTTCCAGTAATAGATTTAGGAACAATCTCGATTTCTCCTCAACTCTTACAAAACTTTTTATTTCTGAAAAGTTTCTAACACTATAAGACGTTGTTGAATATAATTTATCACTTACTAGATGGTATAGATTGATTCGATTATCACTCATAATTAATGAACGATGTTCAAACTGAATAGAGTTGAACTTCTCCTCCAACAAGGAGCTCAAACGAACATCAATTGCAGATGAATTTTATAGGATTTCGTCCAATTTAACAGATTACTTCCTGAAACTGGGATAATATATGATGCATGTCAAGGATCGGCTGTCAGATTACTTTTTCTTCAGACAAAATCATTAATTTCAAAGCAAGCAAAAGAAACATTTAAAATAAGTTATTGGAAAATTTAACAGAGTGATTTACCTAGATTTTGTAAAGAACTAAGTTGATCAATACTCCTATGATTTGATTTACTATGACCGTATGTAGCTCGATTCAAGATTTCATCTTCTACTACGTCTACGAGCTTCACGACAAGCTTAACATTTTTTTTTCTGTTTGAACGGTCAGAAAAATTAAAAAAATATAAATTCATGTGTGTTGTCCGGCTCAAATGATATTATGAGAGGTCCGTTAGTTTTACCCGAACGATCTGAGTATGGTGGATCTTCACAGATCGATGAGTTAGAGACAACAGCTTTTGAATCCATGAGCTATTTTGACATCATCATGTACATTCGGTGGTAATAGAGAGAGGAAGAATGATACTTTCCAGATTCCAACACTTCAGAAAAAGAAATACCAAAGGTCAAACGAATGGTTTTTTCGGTGACCATGATTAAATATGGGCTTTGGACTTCAATTTACTCAATACAATAAAAAACCGTTTGAAATAACTATGGGCCTTTTTAAAAGTTATTGGTTTTCAAAATAACAATTAAAATTGAGATTGATTGCCTAAATAATCTATTTTGTAACAAAATTAGGAACTATAGTCAATTTTTAATCGAGATTGATTGTGCGTTGGTTTGTAATTACTACAGAAAAACACAAAGATAATCATGTTATATAACTATAGAAAAAACAAAAAAATTACAAACCAACATTATACACACTTGAAGAGCGAATTAAGGTTTAAAATCGACAAATATGATTACAAAGATATAGATTATAGACATACAGACATATGATTTCAAAAAAAAAAACGAGTGTATGTCATATCAATTTTTAAATTTGTTATCTTATTAAACATATTTTGATTAATATTTATACATAAATGACTATAGAGAAAGATAAAAATTTAAATTTAATTTTTAAAAAATTAAAACAAAAAATATACCCGCCCTCTCAGAGGGCGGGTCAAAATCTAGTATAGCATTAATATGAGAAAGTCGCCGCTTGCGTACCTCTTTATGAAAACGCAGTGATCATTCTTGGTTTTCTTGAAGTTATGATCCATCATGAAGGAGTCAAACTTCTTGTACCATTGTCTTGGGGCTTGCTTGAGGCCATAAAGACTCTTCTTTAATCGGCAAACCAAGTCTTCTTTTCCTGGAACCTTGAATCCTTCAGGCTGCTCCATATAGATCTCCTCCTCAAGTTCACCATGTAGAAAAGCCGTCTTGACATCGAGTTGTTCAATCTCTAAGTCTAGAACCGCTGCTAGACCAAGAACCACTCTAATAGAGGACATCTTCACCACTGGAGAGAATATTTCTTCAAAATCTATGCCTTTCTTCTGGTTGAATCCTTTCACAACCAAACGGGCTTTGTATCTTGGATTTGAGCTTCTCTCCTCATACTTCAACATGTACACCCACTTGTTCTTCAAGGCTCTCTTTCCTTTTGGTAGCTTCATCAGCTCATAAGTGTGATTATCATGCAAGGATTTCATTTCATCTTGCATAGCTTCAAACCATTCATCTCTATGAGTGTCTCCTATGGCCTCCTCATAGCTTTGAGGCTCCCCCTCATCTGTAAGATTAACATACTCATCTCGATAATATCTTACAGATGGTCTTATCTCTCTTGCAGACCTTCTTGGCTCATGTTCTTCCTCTGGCTCCACTTGATCTTCTTCTTCATTTTCATCACCATTTGGATCCATGATGGGTTCCCCTTCGCCATCATCTCCAATTACTTGTTCATGATCTTGGGGCTTATGAGAATCTGCATTCCTTACAACCCTTAGCTTTGGGTTCTTTGATTTGTTGATGTCTTCGATTGTTTGATCTTCGAAGAAAACGACATCTCTGCTCCGAATAACTTTTCTGTTAATCGGATCCCAAAGCCGATAGCCGAACTCGTCCTTTGGTGAGCCAAGATAGATGCACTCTTTTGTTTTGGAGTCTAGCTTGGCTCGTTCATCCTTAGGAATATGGACGAACGCTCTGCACCCGAACACCTTCAGATGGTTGTAAGAGACCTTTTTACCCGACCAAACTTCCTCCGGGATATCGCCTTCTAAAGGAACTGATGGTGTAAGATTTATGATATCTACTGCAGTCTTTAAAGCTTCTCCCCAAAATGGCTTTGGTAGTTTAGCATGAGAGAGCATGCATCGAACTCTTTCTGTGATTGTTCGATTCATTCTTTCAGCTAGCCCATTCAATTGTGGCGTCTTTGGTGGTGTCTTCTCCATTCTGATTCCATGAGCTTTACAAAATGCTTCAAAAGGACCCTGGTACTCTCCACCATTGTCTGATCGAACACACTTGAGTTTTTGACCCGTACTTCGTTCAGCTTGGGCTACAAACTCTTTGAAAGCATCTAGAACTTGATCTTTTGTCTTCAAAAGATGTACCCACACCTTTCTTGAATGGTCATCAATAAAGGTGACAAAATATGATGCCCCTCCATTGGATTTCTCAGTCATGGAGCA